CAGGATGGGAGGGCAGGTGTGACGTTTCAGTTTCCAGCCGTGGGCACACAGAGCCACACAGCATCTCCAGGCCTGTCTGGCAGCCTCACTCTGGGACCCCGAGGGTGGTGAGGGCTGGCTGGCATCTGGTGAGGCCACACGGTGGGGTCAGCGCAGAGGCTCTCCAGCAGGCGACGTCCCAAGTTCTCACTCTCGTTCTCTCCTAACTCCTCTCCTCCCCCTTCCCGCCCTCCACTTCTCCTCGTCCCTCCTGATCTTTTGTCCTTCCTGAACTTCCTGTTCCCCACCCCTTCCCTTCATCTACCCTCCCTGCTCTGTCGTGGCACTTAGAAAAGGCCAGGTGTTCAGGAAGAGCTTAAAGAAACCAGCGGGGTCACCGCCGCATCAGAGGGCTCCTGTGGATACTTAGGTAGCGCCATCCTGATTTTCCCAGAGCAGCAACCCACAGCGGGAGCTGAGGGCAGCACCTACCTCAGCTACAGCTGCTTTCCACCCCGCGTCGGTGGCACTGGGCATGTCCTCAGAAGACAAAGGTGGACAAAAATATTTTGTTTGGACTTCAGACAAAGAAGAGGTGCATGCATGGAGACAGGCAGCAAACTGTGATTGACAGATGCTGTCCAATAATTCAAAAAATTAAGCCAGAGGCTGCTGGGACTGGGGCTAGGGCTCAGCGCTGCAGAGTTTGCCTTGCATATGTGAAGCCCCGGGTTTGAGCCTCAGCCTCATTATTGTAAACTGATAATAATGTATGTATGTTGTTGTTATTATTGTTATTATACCAAAGAAACTGAAGATGGTCTTCCCTCATAAAAACAGTGTCTCCATAGAAACCTTTTGTCAGAAACATATTTCAAGTAGAAACTCACATGTTCTTCAGTAAAAAGAAATTATTCTATTTCTTTTCAAGCAGATATATGTCTTCAGTGGTGATGGCAGGCAGGAATATAATTATGCATTGAGATTTATCTACTGCTGGGAACCATAGAATTTGTTATAGATGATGGATCTTTCATCTCATCTTACATAAATTTGTGAGACACAAAACTCTAAAAGCAGTTTATTTCTAACGCATTGTGTTAATATTTTACTGCACCAGTCAGAATTGAGCAGGAACAGAGTCTAAGAACTTGGCACAAGAGTTCGCCAAACAAGCTGGCAGGCTCAACAATGAAGCTCAGCTTGCACCCTCAGAGCCCTGGAGGCTTGCTCAGTCCCCGTCCTAGACGGTGCCAAGGAGTGATGAGCTGTTTTTGGCATCTTAAAAACAATGAGAGTCACACACCACCATCATTAATGGCTGTGCTTTGTGCACCTTTCCCCTGTGCAACAACCTTGCAAGAGAATTTCTCCTATTACCATTTTAAGTGAGAGCTCAGAGAAATTAAGTCACTTGCCCAGAATCTCACAGCCCACATACAGAAGAGCCAGATCCCGATGCAGGGCAGGCTGACGCCAAACCCCCTGCTATTAAAGTGACCCCTTGGGTTAATTCAAATTAAGATCAGACTTAATGATGTGGAGAACATGCATTATAGCTACAAAGGTCCGGCTTTAGTGAAGCCTGGTTTATTTCTTCCTGAGCATTCTTGTACGATTGGAAGAGACAGCAGACAGATTGTCCCATTTACACCCTCTGGTGGGCATTGAAGTCAGTGTCCCTTCCTGCCACCACTTTACCCACAAATGTCACCAAAATGGCACTGCTATGTCTCCCTCCCCTCGTCTTTATCATGAGACCAGTGATGGGCTGTTCATCAACTGATTATAAATTGAGTGTTGTCCAACTCCTGTTTGAATCAACAAGAGATGAGTTCCTGGACAAAACTGCCCTGTACACTTTCCCAGTGGCAGAAGAACAACCCTGGGACCTTCAAGATATCACTATTAAAATTTGCAAATTTATATTATTCATAAACAGAAGCCTAAGAGTCTTCCTGACAATCCTGAAGACGGACATTGGCACCCCTTCTACTAATGCCCCTGCCTGTCCTTCCATAGCTCCTTCCTGGGAGCTAGAACCTCAGATTTACCCACCAGTCACACAGATGTGTTAGATAATTCTTCAGCGTCCTCTTCCTGCCTTCTTTTTTGCAAGCGATGAAGGAGAATCTGGAGAGGGCGCCCCTCTGTCCTACTCCTGTGTTCTTCTATCACATGCGCTAGCTGCTGTCCTCCTGAGGTTTTGACCTTGAGGGTGGGGATAAGCGTGCCCCTGATGGCTGGAGCGCTAGGCATCTGCTCTGCATTTCTTCAAGACCACTCACCTGTAGGTGGATTCACTAGACTTGCACACACCAAGTTTCCAAGAAGTGTATTCTTAAAGAACATGCATCTTTCATGCAAATTTGTTTACATAAATGGATTAAAGCTGGTTATTTTTAATCATAGAACATTTCACTAAGTGTTTATATCGTTATCTCAACAAAATACATCCATCTTGCCCAGTAGAGATTCTAGCCAGCTAAATGTTCTCTGTTATGAGTCTCCTATGTGTTTCAGACAAGATTTTTTTGTAGATTGGCTGCCTTGTGACATTTTTCTGGCACAACATTTTTTTAATTAGTTTTGCCTTTGGCTCAAGTCCTTTTAAAAAAATGTACGTGTGTGTGCATGTGCTTAAATTATACAATCTCATATCTATTCTACTGTTCTGAAAATCATAAAGAGAAAATCAACGCCATTTATAACAGAAATCCATTTTTAAGAAAAATTAACTTGTCCTTTCATTTGGGGGGTCTGGCAAACTCAGAGGAACCACGAGGGGGATTGGCAGATGTTGTTTTACGGAGGTCCTTCTGCCTGGAGTTGCACCCTTAACTACACAGACTGGGGTGCAGAGGGCTCCCCACTGTTTAGGAAGCACATGTACCAGTGCCCAGTGCCTCACGTAGCAGTGTGACGTGGGCATCTAGGACTGTAGCCCTGCAGTCTCAGAGCCCTGAAGGCACATGCCCTCTCTGCCCCCGACTGCAGCTGTGTGCCCTAGAAAGCTGTTCTGCTTCCACTGTTCTTAGTTTCCATACTTTTAAAAAGATGATAGTAGCAGCGCCCAC